TGATTGAGCCTTTTTTTTTTTTCTTTTTTTTTTTTTTAGGAATGTCGGTGACTTTATATTAGAGTGAAGACAGTAGGGCTGAGTAGGAGGACTTTGCACATAAATTTTATGTGGTGAAAAAAAAAGAGCATAACTTTGAGAGGCTAAAAAAGAAAAAGAAAAGAAAAAAAAGAGAGCATAACTTTGAGAGGCTAAAAAAGAAAAAGAAAAAGAAAAAAAAACTGCGTTCTTCGGGGAATCTGTGGAAGCATGGCCTCTGTGCACTCAAGGATGACATACAAAGATAGAGAAATCTTCAAATCATCCCCAAAAAGATCTGAATTATCATTTTGTATGTTTTTTTTTCTAATACTTTAACCATAAGACAGATATTTTTCACCCCAAAACAGGTGGGGACCACCTTGGTTCATCCATCCGAGCATTCCGGTTTTTTTTTTTTTTTTTTTTTTTTTTTTTTTTCCCTTGGGAGTCGGGACAATGACATTCATGAATCCATCCCACCATGCATCTATGAAGCTGTCAGTTTTCAGAATGATGCATCTTGATGCATCTCGTATGGTGGTCTTGGGGATGAGTGGGCTGCGCTCCACTACTTGACAAGATTGAACATTCTACATGTATTTAGACTGTAACGCGGACCAAATACATTAGGACAACCAGTTTTGAATGTATCAGGACCCTTACTGGCTCCAGGTACATTTGGAATGTTGCACATTGAAGCCAGGCTTAGTACCTCTTGTCTGCTTCCAATTCTTCTGCCCATCTCACGCACATTGTCAGAAAAGGACCATGATTGGGCCTCGCTGCACTACTCTTGAAATGCACAAAAGACAAAAACCATGTCGCTGTATCTTTCCATGTTCTAGCGGAAGATTCACTCTCGTTTTGCACCTTTCAAGAGTAGTGCAGGGAGGCCCATTGGGTCTCGCTCCACTACTCTATACTCTCGAAATTTTGAGAGTAAGGCCTCGCTCCACTCACTCTAGATAGGTGCTCTCGAAAACGCCCTTCGAGAGCTGTCAGAAAGCACTCTCGAAGGGCACTCTCCAAGTGTCTAGAGTGCCCAGCCTGCGACGACATGCTTTTCCAGTGTCCTCCCTCGTAACCCCGCTCCGACCATTTTTTTTTGTGAGTGCGCCTCGTGTCCCGACCATCAGAACAGGGCGGCGCTGTCTCTTAGTGCAGTCAGAGAGCTCGTCTCATTCCGCCACTGCATCTCGAGCAAAGCCTTCTAGAGTAAGTGGAGCCAATACTTTTTTTTCGAGAGTTTTGCACGTCTGACAGCTCTAGAAGGACTCACGAAACTTTTCGTGAGTCGAGAGTAGTGGAGCGAGACCCATTGTCTCCCTTTTTTTCTGCTTTTTCTTTTTTTTAGTTTTTTTTTCTTCTGTTTATTTCCTGAATTTTAATGAATGTACCATGTGGAATGAAATTCAATACCAACGAGCCTAGCCCAGGAGCATGGTCCCACTAGCAATGGGATGGGATAGAAAAGAGTTTGTGTGGCAGTTGAGTGTGACCCAAATCCTGAAATCCAGTAGTCATGAGTGATCACACGGTCAGTAGTTTATATGCATTTAATTTACCCAAAAAAGTAAGATCTTTGTTCCCCTCCTCCTCTCCTTAGCACTGGGCATGCGGGTGCAAAGGAAGCTTCCTGCCAAAATCTTTTCAATCCGTTGAGGGTATGGCCAACCCCAAAAGAGGGTGCGATCGGCCACAGGCCCACTGGATAGAAGATTTTCAGTATTTTGCTTGCTGTTGTGCAATTATCTCATTGGTTGGAGCCCTCCTCCAATCACGGAGTATATATATATACTAGCTAAGAGCCCGCGGTGCGGGCGGTACAGGCCATGCCCGCAAAAATAAGAAATGTTGTAGGCAACCTGACACAGACGACTCGCATAAACCGAGACGGACTTAAAAAACAAAAAAAGGAATCACAGGGTAATAAAGAATAGCCTAAAACTGGCTAAGAAGTTTGGGTTTTATGGACGAATAGCGTGGCGGTCCGGGATGGGTGGGTGGG